CCGGAAGCCAAGATATCCTGCAAGCTGGCATCTTCTAAAGATTTTCACCTTCTAGTTAAGGTTTGTGAGTTCTGGTGGCACAGTGCTTGAGGCACTTGGCTGCTAATGCGAAGGCTGGCACTTCAAACTCACCAGCTGCTCCTTGAAAGTAAGATGAAACAATCTACTTGGGTAAAGATTTACCACCTTGGAAACTCAATGGGGGTCGCTATGAGTTGATGACAGTGGGTTTGGTTTTGGTTTTGGTTTTAGTTAAGGATTAAGGAGCTCTGGTGGTGTAGTGGTTAAGGCATTTGAGTGCTAACCAAAAGGAGAGTAGTTTGAACTTAACAGCTGCTCCCTGGAAGAAAGATGAGGCAGCCTGGTTCTGTAAAGATTTACAGCCTTGGAAACCCAAAGGGTGTGGCTCTGAGTCGCAATCGACTTATGGCAGTGAGTTTGATTTTCGGAATTAAAGTTTAGGGTCACTAGGTGGTGCCAATGGTTAACTCACTCTGCTAACCAGAAGGTGGGAGGTTGGAGTCCACACACAGGCATGTGGGAAGAAAAGCCTGGAATTCTGTTTCCAAAATATCAGCCATTTTAAGCTGTATGGAGCACGGTTCTACCCTGACACACATGGGGCTGCCTTGAGTTGTGGTTGATTTGACAGCACTTTTTCCTTGGTTTACTTGTTTCCTTTTCTGCAAATGTTTGTAGCCCTCTATTCATTATTACAACAAATCATTCACTGAGTTTCAATCAATTCAATCATTATTTCACTCGTCCAGCCAGCATTTAAAAAATTTTATTTAACATGTTATTGTGATTTGGGTGAAAGTGTACAGAGCAAATCTGTTTTCCATTCAACAGTTCCTACACACTTTGTTTCATGTCAGTGATTGCAGTTCCTTCAGTGTAACATCACTCATCCCTCCCACTTCCTCCCCGAGTTTCCCATTTCCTCCTTTCCTAACCCTTTCTGCCTTCTGAACTTTGACCTTGGGCAAATGCTGTCTTTTGATCTCAAAGGTTGGTTGTTGTAAGGAGTGTACCCCCCTAGTGTTACAGTTCACCCTGTACATCTGTCTATTGTTTGGCTGAAAATTGAGCCCTGGGGGCTAGTTCAGTTCTAGGTCTGAAGTGTGATGAAAGGCCGATGTCTTGGGGATTCTACCAGTTTCTATCTGACCAGTAAATGTGTTTTTTTTTTTTTAAATGATTTTGAGTTTTGTTCCACATTTTTTCTCCAGTTTAGCCAGGACATTCTAACGTGATGCCTTCAGAGAAGTCACTAGGGTAGCCAGGCACCATTTAGTTCTTCTGGTCTCAGGGTCATGAAGGCTGAGGTTCACGTGGTCCATTAGGCTTTTGGACTAATTGTTTCCATGTGTCTTTGATTATCTTCACTCTTTTTTGCTCTGGATGAGGAGACACCAGTAGTTGCACCTTAGATGATTGCTCACAAGTTTTTAGGATCCCACTTGATATTCACCAAATAGGCTGTATAACACTGCGTTTGTGGACTATCCAACTAGCATTGAAACAACATTTAAACACTTAAAATTTAATGTCTGGCCCAGCTATGATGAAGGGTAAGATTCTCACCTGTTGAGTCCTTGACTGATTTTTGGTTCCTTGACTTTGGTCTTTATTTTGCACCCATTCAGACACCAGAGAGGCTGGATCATAGGGTATTGTTGAAGAAGAAAAGTCAGGATGTGAGATAGGAAAGGGGGGATGTATGGGAAAAGTTTATGGCTCCTGAACTCCCAGGCAGACTCTCCACCAGGAGAAATAGCCTCTCCTGTCTTCATTTGTGCTCATGTGTATACACGCATAAGCATGCACACACACACACAGAGTCACTGTCAGGAGGGTTGTTATAATCTCAGAGGTGTTGCTAAATCTTTTTCTCGGACTCAATTACCTGTCAGCTTCTGCAGTTTTTCCCAATGTGCCACACATTTCTCATATTGATTTGCTCTGCTAATCCTCTGAGTACTGTCTCTTTTTTATTCCTGAAGCATTGACCAGGCAGTGTTTGCCTCGTCAAAGATGAGAGAACCATTGTTCATTAACTTTGGACAGTTCTGCATCATTGTGATAAATCATCTTGGGCTGCAAACTGGGGAGATCTTGCCCCTCATCCAAAGAGGTCAGCTTCTACTCTTGGCAGACTCTTGTATTCAAGAGGCCTCCATGTCCTCCTGGCCCCACTTGTATCTACCTTAAGTTATTCACTTGTCATATGCTCTTAGTTTAACTGCCCTTTGTCCCCACCAAATGGAACCTGCCTCCGCAACTAAGGTGGGCTCACTTCTTTGAGATAAACACAAACTTCCCCTCTGCACCCATTTTCCACATAAATGTAAAAATTCACATTCCTAAACATTCTTCTACCTTCCATTATCCTTCTCCATATCAGTTATGTTTTGTTCAAAAACCAATCACTCTCAATCTTGGTAGTTTATAACAACACCCATTTTTATTGTTCATGGATTTGGTTCAGCATTCCAACATTATGATTTTGACTCTGCTCTTTAAATGCAGAAATATGTAGTACCACAGGGGCTGGAGATGGGACAATACCAGAAGCAAACACTAACAATGCTAGTAGGAACTTACTCTTAAATATGTGCTGCTGATTCTCTGTGAGTCCCTAGTTATGAGGGAGGACACTCTCATCACTGAGTTCTATTAAAGGATGATTAATAAAAATGTGCTAATTTGATGTCCCTGGTTTCTTTGTTCCATATTATTTTCTGTGCTGAGCTCATTATGTTTATGAATCATGTTATCATTTCCTTTGTTGCTGTTGTTTTAGTATATGCTGCATATTTGTGCTTGTCCTCTTTTTTACTGTGATGTGAAGGTTTATCATTTTTCTTCGAGGTTACCCTATGATTTATAATTTTATTC